TTGGGGGGTACGCCCCAGAAGCCCGGGGTGGGCCGTGGCCGGAGTGGTCACTCTGTAGCCAGAGGCCACCACCCACGAGGGTGGGGCGGGTGGATGGGTGGGCCTGCTGATGCCTTGGTGGGGGAGGACTGCAGTGGCCCCTGTGCCCGGCAGCCCCACCCCAGGCTCAGGAGGGCACATTCTCCCGCTGGGCTCTTCCTGTTGGAATCCGGGCCCTGCGGCAGGTGCTGGGAAGTGGCCCTTGCCAGCTGGGTGCTTGTCCCATCCACCTGCCCAGAAGGAGGAGGGCCGGCCCCCTCCCTTAGCAGGCTGAGCGCCCAGTGGCCCAGGCTCTGAGGCCCGGGGCCAGCACGGATGGAGGCCTCCCCCAGCCTTCTCCCTGGGGCCCTGGCTTTCTCGTCCTCAGGGCTGAGCCCAGAGAGGTTGAGATGGGGGAGGAAGGAAGGGCTGGCCCTAGGGGGTTCTTCCTGCAGCTGTGCTCACTCCTGGAGCCTGGGGACCTCATGTACCCAGGACAACATTCCAGAGGTGGTCCTGGGAGGCTCTGACCCCGACACAGCTCCTCAGCATGTCCTTGCCGGCACAGTGCCGGCCCTCAGAGGGGAAGAGGCTCCTGGCCCCATTGTCCCCCAACCAATCTGTCCCTGTGGCTGTCCCTGGCCTGGACACAGGGTGGGATGGGCTGGAGAGGGGGAGTGGGGGCAAAGGGCACGGCCCCTCCCTCACCCCTGAGGTGACCCCCCACCCCTACCCCTAGTACGGCATTGTCCTGGATGCTGGCTCTTCCCACACATCCATGTTTGTCTACAAGTGGCCGGCGGACAAGGAGAATGACACTGGCATCGTGGGCCAGCACAGCTCCTGTGATGTGCGCGGTGAGGGTCCCCCAAGCACCAGGTGCACCCTGGCCTGGATACCCACAAACTGTAGGGCCTCAGGGGGCCCTCTCTGGCCTTCGCCTCTGCAGGCCCAAGCAGTCAGGCTCCTCTGCTTAGTGCTGGGTGGCGCCCACTCCAGGCAGGAGCCGCCAACAGAGAGACTGGGCCGTGGGCCTCGTAGGGACTGCAGGCACTTTCGTTCTAGAAAGAAGCCCTGAGTAGTCAGAAGAGTTGGGCCTTGCCTGCCCAAGACTGGCCTCTACATCCCCAACGGAGCAAGAGGGCTCCTAGGAGCTGGTGGGCACACACACACACACACACACACACACACACACACACACCCGGCAGGCCCCTGGAGGTTAGGCCAAGCTGACAATGCCCAGTGCTTTGTCCTGGCACCTGTGTACACACACCCACTGCCGCGGCAGCTTCAGAGACTCTGAGTGGCACTCAGGTGAGCCCCTTTGTCTGTGAACGTCTCTGAACATCTTTGTCTGTTCTTAAGCCACCATCTGGTTTGGGAGCCCAGGACCCCTTCCCCAGCCTCGTTGGCCTCTGGCCCTCCTCAGGGCTGACTGCTGGGCTCCGGCCCATCTTACTGCTCCCTCCAGGTGGGGGCATCTCCAGCTATGCAGACAACCCCCCTGGGGCGGGCCAGAGTCTTGTCGAATGCCTGGACCAGGCACTCCGGGACGTGCCCAAGGAGAGACATGCGGGCACGCCCCTCTACCTGGGAGCCACAGCAGGCATGCGTCTGCTCAAGTGAGTGTGCCCATCCCTTGACCTTCCTGGCCCGGGTCCCCACCACAGCCTCAGCACAGGATGGGCCCCTCGTGCCCTCAGCAGCAGCCCTGGGCGGGGCCCCCTCTTGGCTGGCTGGGGAGACACCATGCACCCAGAAAGCAGGATCACAGCCACCTGGCCTCTCAGAGACCTCCCTGTATCACAGTCTGACCAGTCCAGAGGCCTCGGCCAATGTGCTCACAGCTGTGACGCGGACGCTGACCCAGTACCCCTTTGACTTCCGTGGTGCCCGCATCCTCTCAGGCCAGGATGAGGGGGTGTTTGGCTGGGTGACTGCCAACTACCTGCTGGAGAACTTCATCAAGGTGGGCCTGCTGGCCAGTCCGGTGAGCCGGGGGGAGGGGGAGGGCGAGCACCCACCCACCAGCTGACCCAACCTCCACTCCCCGCAGTATGGCTGGGCAGGCCGGTGGTTCCGGCCAAGGAAGGGAACACTGGGGGCCATGGACCTGGGAGGCGCCTCCACACAGATCACCTTTGAGGAGGCCAGCCCGGCTGAGGACCCGGCTAACGAGGTCCAGCTGCGTCTCTACGGCCAGCAGTACCGAGTCTACACCCACAGCTTCCTCTGCTATGGCCGTGACCAGGTTCTCCAGAGGCTGCTGGCCAGTGCACTCCAGGTGCCCCACCCCCCCAGACCACCCCAACTACTGTGCCCTGCTGGAGGGAGGGGGCAGGAAGGGATGGGGCCGTGGGCACAGAGCAGAGCCCAGACAGCAGCTGTACTGAGGAGGCTTCTCCAGGCTGCAGGAACCGGTCGGCTGTAGTCAGCTGGAAAGACCGGTGGGGAGGGATCCAGCATGGGTGAAGGCTCAGTGGCCAAGGGTGGGCCTAGTGATTTTCATGCTGGAGAGAAAGGGGGGCCAGGGCTTGATCTCAAGGGCCTAGGGTGCTTGGCCAAGGGGTTTGATTTTTGCCCAGCAGCAACGGGGAGCCATGGATTGCTCCTGAGCACAGAAGTGATGTCACCAAGTGGGACTTGTGGGGGATTCATCGGGCTGGTCGTCTGGGGAGGCCCTCTGCAGGTCCTGGGGTGGGCAGTGCTTAAAGTAGGGGGGTGTAACCCACACCCTCATCATTCCCCCAGACCTACAGCCACTCCTTCCACCCCTGCTGGCCGAGGGGCTATTCCACACAAGTGCTGCTCCGGGACGTGTATGAGTCGCCATGCACCACAGCCCAGCGCCCCAAGGTCTTCAACAGCAGTCACCGGTTCACCCTGTGGGGGAGCAGCAGCGCCCCCCTCTGCCGTTACCTCATCTCCAAGCTCTTCGACTTCTCATCCTGCCCCTTCTCCCGATGCTCCTTCAATGGCATCTTCCAGCCCCCTGTGGCCGGGGACTTTATTGTGAGTCCAGGGGACAAAGATGGGGGGCCGATGCCCTGCAGCGCCTGGGGCCTGGGCTCACTGTGACCATACCCCCTTGCAGGCCTTCTCTGCTTTCTTCTACACCTTGGACTTCCTGAGGACAGTGATGGGGCTGCCCGTGGCCACCCTGCAGCAGCTGGAGCACTCCGTGGACACTCTGTGCAACAAGACCTGGGATGAGGTGAGGCCTGCTCCCCCTCCTCCAGGGCTCCGGGGAGGGCTCCGCCAGCCGCTTAGCTTCCCAGGCTTTTTTTTTTTT